ACACACCTGGAATCATAAACTTAGTTCTTTCTTGTCTTTGTGTGTTTCTACTTCTTTATTCTCATTATAGTGTCTTAAACTTGGCCTAAGAATGCCTAGGATAGAAAAAGGATGCAAAAATGCACTTGAAAACACTTAACAAAAATTGCTAAAAACAGGGTCTTCGCTTGAGCGTAACTTCCTACGTTCGAGCGAACATGAAAAATGTGAATGGTCGCTCGAGCGCAAGATCTATCACTCGAGCGGTCTGTAAACTTTTGTAAAAGTGCTGGTTGCTTGCTTTTTCCACTCGATGCTCGTTCGACGCTCGCTCGAGCGTGAAAGACATGTCCTCACTCGAGCGCAATTTTTGTCGCTCAAGCGGTCTGCAAAATATAAGAACTTCTGAGAGCATGCATTTCACGCTCAAGCGGACTTCTGGTCGCTAGGAGCAGAATTCTGGAATTTCCAGATTTGCTCCCAAGTCAAAACTCAAATTCAAAGCCATTAAACTCAATCTTTGCGCCCCAAAACTTGAGAAAACATGTCTAACCTTGGAAAACACAAAGAATTGAAGATCATTTCATGAAATCAAGGCCCAAAAGCATGTCAATTGTGCAAAATACAACTTGAAAAGTAAGAAAACAATGTAAACATGTCATGCATGTGTTTATTTTCCAAAACATGATCAAATGAGATATTTTACTTAAAAACATGGTGAATCCTTAAAGTTCAACCAAAATATGAACATGCATGGGACAAATTCTTAGACAACATGCTCTAAATGCAATGTAATGCACATGCAAGTATGTACTCTTCTCTTCTACTTCATTAAAGTTTAATTCTTGCTGCAACTCACTTAATTCATTTGAATACATATGATAAGTGCCCTAATTACACAACCAAAGACTTGATTTCTTTCCTTAGGTTCTCAACTCCTTGAATTCTAGTGAGTTCTTGTTCAATTTCTTCAATTCTCCTTAATGCTCTAGCAAATTCCTTGTTGAAGACTTTTCCTAGGTCTCTCACTCTCTCTACACGTTTGTGTGTGCGTGTATGAGCTCAAGATGTGTTAGAGTGGAAGAAAAGAATGAGTGGGAGCACTTAAGAAGCCTTACATAGGCTTGCCTAATGATAGTTAATTAAGACTAATCAAATGAGCCATTAAATTAATCTAATTTGATCATTCCAAACCGAATTTTAATTAAACCCACCATACAATTCTAAAATTTCCAATTAACACATAAATCAATATAATTTCTGAACCGGATGCCGATAAGGCCTTCAATTCGCAAACCGAAACGAAAACATAAATAGATTTTCCTACATTAAATAGATACAAACACAAATAATGCAATGCACATGCAATTAACTCAGGATTTCTTCTTAATTACTTATTAGGCATACTTAAACATGTATTAACGTTAATCATAGGTCGGGGTTGTTACAATTATTCTCTCTCTAACTACTTTGCCTTCTTCTTCATTCAATCTAATATCTCCATTATCTCTTTGTTATTCTGTTCCTAGTTGTGATTGTTAAAGAATCTTAGCCTCTCATCATTTCTAGAGAATTCGAGTTTTCTTCAAAGATCTTCGAAGATCTCGAATTTTTCAACAACATTTTTTAACCCTCTCATACAGTGACTTTTTGACTAAAAAAGTTAGTCCCCAAACAAGGTACAAATATGTCACGACTCAAACCCACCCTTGTAGGTTTAGCATCGTAATCGGCCATTAATCCGTGATTATCAAAGGCCTACTTAACAGTAATAACTAAAAAGGGCTGGCAGAAGCTAATAAATAAAACAATATGTATACCATTCATTCAGTTGTGCGGATTTACATGAACAAACAAACTTTGTATAATATATACAGATATTCACACAAGTCCATATCACCTCTATATACAAAATAAAAATATAAGTTAGGGAATTAAATCCCATTACCCAAACAGAACATAAAACATTCAAGTTACTTATACACAAGTTCAAAAGGGTGAACTTAGAACCACCCAAAAAGCCATAACATCTGACGGTTCGGAACCTCGTAATGAGACACAGTAGTTGGCTTGACAAAATTGGGTTCAGATCAACGCTGCTAAGTCCGATTCGGTACTTGATCACCTACATACATATACATAAACAATGAGTTAGAGCCCATTGAATAAAGAGGTTAAGTGAATGAGTTACATAACTTTAGCAAAATATATAACGTTCTCAATTTAGTTAAATCACACTTCAGAAATGTATAATAGCAAATATGGATCATCAACCTTTCATGGCTTAACACATTTCGTAGTACTCAATAGGCTTATAAAACTTGACGGATTACCGCACAAAACGTTCACGGTGGAACGAAGCATTCGGAGCTCCTTTATTGGACGGCTTCATACAAACATCCGTACTGGAAGACTATGCAAAACGTTCACTTGGGATGACTTGGTACAAAACGTCCACTTTGAATGAGCTCATGCGAAACGCCCACTTTGGGCGACTTCATTCAAAACGTCTATAACAGATAGATATCATATAAAACGATTATAATCTAAATCATGTGGAATAATCATTGAAGATCGACATCATATAAAATGTTACATTGAGGTTGTAACTTATACGAAACGTACATGACGAATTGAAGACGATACGAAAGTCATTAGGGATCAAAATACATTTTCAACTCCGTTACCTTAGTTGTCGTTTCAAAAGGCCACTCATTCATTCATAGTCAAATTTCATTTTCGAAGCTTATCATATCATACTCAGTTCGGAATTACATAGCATAACTTATTGTTCAAAAACACTTATTCGGAAAACTTATTACATCATGAACAATTGGGAATTCATGACATATCTTATTATTTCATCAACATACTTGTCTTAACCAATATTTTGTAATTAAAATATAGATTGCATCATTATTATATAGCAAAGTCAATTCAAAAGTAGCTTGTACAAAAATATCTTTATAAAGACATTGCTCACAATTTTTGGCCGGATGATACTCCTCGTATAAGCGACCTACACAACCATATTCAAGCACCACAACTCAAAATTATATTCAATTCAGTCAGTCGGTTAAACCTATTCGGTTATTCGTTGCTCATTCATTTGGTTCTAACTATTCATTCTTTAATTTCTTTCTTGCTTATGATATGCACATGATATGCATTTGAAGTTGAAATACACATAAAACCACGCAAACGGAGGCCTGAAAGGTAGAAAAATGGAACGAAAATAAAATCGGGACCTGTTATGAAACCGCACGCGCGGAAAGCCCAAACCACACGTGTGGAACCCATGCCGCATGTATGCTCCACACGTGCAATTAACACAGAAGGTGCGAGTTTTCTGTTCTGTTTTCCGCACGTGCGGGGCCCCAAGCCGCATGTGCGGTACTGGGTGTTGTTGAGTCCGAAAATCTATTGCAAGTTTGAAGCTCAAAGTTTGCAATTTCAACCTCATATTCATGCAATTCAAGTCCCAAAACTTGTCAAAATCACCTTGAATTTAACATATCTAGCTTTAAACAAAATTCATAACTTCAAATGGAAGCTTCAAAACCATGCAAAGAGTTCAAACTTAAATACAAAATCACAATTCATACGAATTGAGCTCCAATCCATTGAATTGTATGGAGTTTTCCTTCTAACTTTTGAAAAACTCAAGCAAGAAGTAAGGAATCAATTAAATGATCATGGATTCCATGAAAATTACGCCGTGCATGTTGCTAATTGAAGTCAATTTCTAACATTTCTTTTTTATATGATCATGTGAGCTCTTAACAACAATTTACACCACCACACTCACAAATAGGCAAGATCTCTTCTTGCTTCAACTTAATTTCTATGATTTCATTTGTATTATAATTCAATAACATGGAATTAAGGATGAATTCCTACCTTAATTCTTCAAATTGTTGATCTCCAACTACTCTTCCTTTTCTCCTTCTTGAGCTTCTCTATCCTCTCTACTCTAATGTTTACTCCAAGATTTCCCACTAAGCCTCTCTCTTTCTCCTCTTTTGTTTTAAGTTGATGAGTAGATTTGAGGGATATCATTAATCTTAAGTCTTGATAAATTATAAGTTTAACTAACTAAATCAAATTCACTCAAATTAAAGTACCCTCATCATTTTATGACTTAAATCAAATTAAATGTAATTATACTAATGTGAATTAGGCTCTAATTGCCTATCCAAATATTTAATTCTAACTTGTTAAAATTACTGAATCAGACAGGTTTAATTCATCTCTGTACACATCTGTCCTCAATAACAATACAATATAAATCCATACAATGCATATAACACATGGTTCATGATTCACAATTAACACCTAATCACATGACATTAATCACATAATGTTCGTTTGGGAAGAACTAAAGTAGGCTTTTTTGGCTATTTTAGCCACAAAAGGCAACACAAAAAACAAAACATCACATCCAAACCATAATCATTACACTCTTCTCTCACAAAAAAAGTCAAAAAAGTCAAAAAGCCAAAAAGTTCTTCTCAAACCAAGCTTTTTAGCCCAGGCTAAAATAGCCAAAAAAGCCAAAAAGTCAAAAAGCCAACCCACTTCCCAAACGGAGGCATAATTAGCATAATTAATTAAGGAGGTGTTTGCCACAAAATATGTATTTATGAAAGTATAAAGGGATTTTCTTATCAGATTTATTATTGTTTTTTTAAATAACTAACACAAAAGTGATGAAAATCATATAAATATAAAAAGATGAGATTTATTGTCTTTATAATAAAAAATTAATAAAAAATCTATTTATATCCTTTCGATTTCATGCTAGCAAAAAAGAAAAATGGCATGCCTAATTTCTTTATCATATCATTATAGATGAATTTCAGTCTCCAACATTTCTCAGTAAGAAAATAAAAATTTGAAAAAACTTCAACTTCATGAAAAAAAACAAAGAAAAAAAAAAGGTAAAGAAAAAAAAGAAAAAGTTAAAAAAACACAACTGTGAGTCAAAGGGAGAGAATGCATTCTTCTCACGCAACCAAACCATCACAACTAAAAAACTACCTAACTTCCTTCTCTCCCTTCTCTCCCTTCTCTCCCTTCTTCCATAAATCTATACACTTCACCTATACAAACATATAATCCATATCACTACATATATATATATATATATAGATGTCGGAGAGAAGTCTACGGCGGAGAATTTCGGTGTCGAACAGGAGAGCCACCAGACTGCAGCACCACCCATCGCCGCCGCCTCACCGTCGGACTCTGGCGGCGCATCGACGGTCATCAAATCCTTCGAGCCCCACCACCACCGATATTCTACAGAGATACGAATCGGAACCGACTCTGTGGACGGTCGGTTTCGCCGGCGCCGTCTCGTACGGCGACGATTCGGAATCTGACGACGCCGGAGTCAGACGCCGTGTTTTTCCGTCTCCGGACGTGCACGGACATCTTCTCTTCTACCGAGTTGCTGTTGCCTCCGAGATCTCCTCGAAATTTGGAGGTACCAGGTACGATCAATTTCTCAGGTTTCATTCACCATTTACTTAGGCCTCTTTTGGAACATAGACTGTTTTAGGTGGTCGGTAAAAAGTTGATTTTTGATTTTTTTATAATATTTTAAGTTTTTAAAAAGTGATTTGAAAAATTAATAAAAAATTAATTTTTGATTTTTTAGTTTAATATTTATTTATGGTGTTAAATCAAATTAAAATAATTAAAATATCCTTACTTGACATAAAAAAATTATTTTTTTATTTTTTTTGTCATAGGTCTTAATTTGTAATTTCATACTTGCGTTTTTATAACTTTTCAAATCAATTTTATTGGGTTTTTGCCACTTTCATTTTTGGACCAAAGATAAAAAAACGTGACTTTTTATTTTGGTTCCCAAAACGGCACATAGTTTTTGGTCACTTTTTTTTATTTGTAAAAAAAGTTAAAAGTTGGTTTTTTGACTTTTTTTTTTTATTTGGGAAGTTGGTTTTTAGTCAATGGTGAAATTACAATTCTATCCTTCATGGGTCAAAATGTGTTACAGGGGTGAAGAAGTAAATATTTTAAATTAAATGAGGTAATTTGGTCATTTTATTGTAATTTGACATCATAAACAAATATTAATAAAAAAAATTAAAAACAACTTTTTACTTAATTTCTCAAATCATTTGTCTAAAAAAGTCAAAAACTTAGTCAAAAGTCAAAAAGTCACTTTTTACCATCTTTCCAAAAAATGTCTTATTTACTCCCTCTATTTTAAAATAATAATTGTTTTTTGAGAAATTCAATTTTTTTTATAATATAATTATTGTATTTTAAAAAATTAATTTTTTAAAATTATGTATATTTTTTAGAAATATCAATTGTCATAATTGTACTTTTTATATTATTAATAAATTTAAAAAAAAAAAGCAAAATATGAAATTTATATTATTTTTATCCTTAATTTTTGAAAAGTGACTAATTTTTGGAATAATAAAAAAATGAATAAGGAACTAATATTTTTGAACGGATGTAGTATTTTTAAAAAAAATAAATCAGTGTGTTTGGTTTCAATTTTCTAAAAATTGAGTTTTTTATTTTTATTTTTATTTTTATTTTTAGTGAATGTTTTTAAGATTTTAAGCAATTTTTATTTTTATTTTTTTAGGTGCACCTTACTTAGATGTATCTAAAAAGTAAAATATTTATAAAAAAATTAATAACAACAATGATTTAAAATACTAATCTTTGTGCTCTAATGGAACACTAATGACATGGCAAGAAGAAAAAAAAAACAATACAAAACAAAACAATCAAACAAACCAAAACTAAAGCACCACATCAGAGTAGATGGGGCCCACTGATGAGTTGGCTTTAGAGCTCAACAATTAGAGCTCCAAAGCATTTTTCAATTAATAAATACACAATAATACAAAAAATATACTGAATTTTTATTTATTTTTATTTTTTTGATATTTAGTGAATTTTTTTAAGATTTTTTTCACAAATATTATATTTTGTAAGTGTGTCTAAAAATTAAAAAAATTACTTATAATATTAAAATAATTCAATAAAAATAAAAATAAAATATGAAAAATAAAAAAATTTTAATTTTCTAAAAAGTGAATTCAGAAAACTCAAACCAAATAAGCTAAATGTTTTTTTGGGTATATGAGGGATTATTTGGTTGCATTTTCTTCTTTAAATGTGTCAAATTTATATATTTTTTTTAACCTTGATTTAAGAATAACCCGCAATGGAAAATATTTATTAACAAAATTTGTAAGAATATTATGGGGAAAATGCAGCAGCGGCCTAAGATGTTGCGTGATTTTAGTTAAACATTAAAATGAGAATTTATTTTTATTAAAATTTTAAAATTTTAGAATTTTCAAGGCTAAATTTTTAATTTTTTTTTTTTTAAGAGTCTCATATTAATTATTTACCCATTTATAGTAGTAATTGAGTTGCAAAGCAACATTTTTGGGTAATGGGTTCAGGTGGGCAGCAGGTCCAATGAATCTTATTTTCTACATTTGAACATAGCCCATCATTTATATATTATTTTTTGAATACATTGTACATATGTATTTGAATTCTTTACCTTCTAATAAGGTCTATGAATTCTGATCAATTAAATTAATCCAATTTATTACCAATAATGTCATGAGAAATAAAAATTTTAACATCTAAGAACTTAGACATAGAAAATTATTAAAAAAATAATGTATAATTTAGGTTTATTCCAAATATGAGGCCTCGTTTGAGAACAGGCTAATTTAGTAACTTTTTGACTATTTGGCTAAAATATGAGCTAAAAAAAATTAATATGTTTGGGATGATTTTTTGACTTTTTACGAAAAGATGTGCAAAAAGTAGAGATAAAAGAGAATCTTTGACTTTTTGATATAAGTTGTTGATTTTTTAATTTTTTTAATAACTTTTTGACTTTTTAGCTAAATGGGCTGATTCCCAACGAGGCCTGAGTCCTACTATACAAGTGGTGAATTTGGATCATATACTATTTTTATATATATTTGTGTATTTGGGTTCTTAGTTCTTAGCATTACTGATACCAAAAAAACCTATATGCATAGAAATGTAAAGTTTGTTATCTTCTACTCTATATTTGAAGAAGAAGAGGCAACACAAGAAGCTCCATTCTTTGAATGAAAACTAGCCAAATGAACTAAGCCACCATCTTCAAACATAGTAGTGCACAATGTTTTATCATTTTTATGTAGACTATCTTTTCATTTGACCAAGCCTTGCCAGTCATCCAAACACAACCCAAATGTTAATTTTTGGAGAGTTTAGGAGTGCAGGGTACAGCAAGGATGCCAAGGTGGTGGTTAATGTGACCGTTGAAGGAAGTCCTGGTCCGATCCGGACTCTGGTCAAATTGGGAGCAAATGTGGAAGATACCATAAAGCTTGTAATTAACAAGTATAGCGAAGAAGGTCGGCGTCCTCACCTTGATCAAGATGCTGTTTCAACCTTCGAATTACACCACTCCTACTTCAGTCTTGCAAGTAAGTGATGCTGAGTTGATCTTCAGTTTCTTTTCAGTCTTGCAAGTTAGTGACTGTTTGGTTCCTAAGAAAATGTGGGTAGAGGAGGAAAGGGTGAAATATCTGAGACAAAACAGATAATGTCACGACTTACTGAAAAAAGGGGGAAAAAAAAAGAGATTGTTTAGCTTTCCAAGAATAACAAAACAAATTGGAAAATGTTACAATTATTATTACAATTTTTTGTTAGTTTTACTTGGAAATAAAATTTGTTCAATCATACCAAAAGTTCATTATTATGCAGGTTAGACGACGGTATTAGTTGATAGAATTGTTGTATAAAAATAGAAAAATTACACGTGACAAGTTTTGAATTTATTATTTTAAAACAAAAGAGTATCAAAATGGCTTATATTTAAAAAATGTCACTACCCACAATATTCTAGTCAAGAATTTTGTATAGATATTTTACTTGATGTTTGCATTGGAAAAACTTCTTGAGGTGCTCCCTATTCACTACTCAAATAAGCCATTGTTTCTAAACTTTAATGGCCCAGGATTCACCCTAAAAGTTTCCAATTCAAATAAAAAAATTGAATAAAATCGCTTTATATATTATGTTCTTGTTATTGTTGAACACTGTTTTGGTTGTATAGGTTTGAATAAATGGGATGTGATCGGAGATGTTGGTAGCAGAAGCTTTTATCTTCGAAGGGGAAACAGTGATCGTAGTAGTAGTAGCGGAAAAGAGATGATATCTGCATCTTTCCCTTCAGAAATTGTTTCAGTTACAAGAGGAAGCACTTCTCTTCCACACACTCCATCTTCTTTCTTCTTTCTCCCACCATTCATCGCCCGGAAGATCAACAAAATTATACGAAGAACACGTAAACTATGGAAGATTTTGGGCTGCTTGCACTGTAGTTGATGACCATACTCTTCTTGGAGTAACAGTCTATTACATTATGTTACTCTTTATCAACCAACTTTTTTTTTGGTTGTATAATCTCTGTATAAAAAGCTTTCTTTGGTACTGATATTGCTTGTAAGTTACAAGTTACACCGTTCTTGTCACCAAATATGAAAGAAAAGTTATATTCGTACATAATTTTTGTATCGAAAACTTTTTCACAATGATATGATAATGCATTTTTGTAATTAAAATATATTTTGTTGAATATTTTTTTTCGAAGTGACGAGTTTTTATTCTATGAGAGTGTGTTGTCTTTTAATTCATTCGTTATTTTCACATTGTCATGACAACACACAAAAAATATATTGTCTTAATTCATTAGTTGCTTTAAATTGTTACATTTAAAGTGGAAGAATGATTGATAACATGACATTTATATTTATGCTTTTGCATATTAAAGATTTTGAAAATTTTGGGTTAAGACTTTCAAGCTTGAAAACTCATGTGTGCATAGAATTAGCCCTCTCTAAATCTCATATTCAAAAAGTGAGTGCAATTTCCTCTCAATTATAAAGGCAAAAAATTATTTCACTTTATTTTTATTTTTATTTTCACTTCCCATAAACATTTCATTAATTATCCAAACAAAGATTACAATCGAGGAAATTCTGGAGTGCTAAAAAAAATCAACAAAATTGATAAATTAATATACTCTGATCTAATATGCCAATTTGGTATTGTTAGAATAGTTAAAAGAAATATGGAAAATGTGTATCTGTATTATATGAATTGAATTGAATACAATAGGAGAGCTTGTATTTATAGGCTAAATACAAACCTAGATAAGTATAGAAGGAGATAGATATAGAGAGACATAGAGATACAAGGAAATAGAGATAGAGATAGATAGAGATAAGCTATATCTACAATACAAGGAGATAAGTATAAATCTAAATTTAATATATACATTAACAACCCCCCTCAAACTCAAGGTGGGTAAGCATCAACCAACTTGCCCAACTTAAGTTTATCAATGAAATGACTAGGAAGATGAGCCTTGGTGAAAATATCAGCAGGTTGATTAGCAGAAGAAATAAGAAGAAGATGAACAGTGCCACGTGTAACATGCTGTCGAATGAAATAACAATCAATCTCAATATGTTTGGTGCGATCATGGAAGACATCATTATGAGCAATCTAAATGGCACTTTGATTGTCACAATAGAGAGAGGTGGCACCAGGGGAAGAAACACCTATAGCAGTAAGGAGCTAGCAAAGCCATAAAAGTTCCTGAGTAGTGTCAGTAAGAGCGCAGTATTCCGCTTCAGTACTAGAGTGAACAGTGAGAGACTGTTTCTTGTTGCGCCAAGTAAGAATAGAATCTCCTAAGAAAAAACAGAAACCCGTGGTGAAGCGTCGATTAATAGGATCCCCGGCCCAATCAACATCAGAAAATGTACGAAGCTCGAGAGAAAAGTTGGCAGAATAGCGAAGTCTATGGAACATAGTGCCTTTAAGGTAGCGAAGTATGCAAAGTAGAGCAGTGTAATGCGGGGTACGGGGAGCCGACATGTACTGACTAACAAGATGGACAGCATAAACAATGTCAGGACGAGTCACAATGAGATAGACAAGACTACCGACCAGCTGGCGATAAAGAGTAGTGTAACAACCTCGACCTCTGATTAACGTTAATTCATAATTAAATAAGCCTAATCAGTAATTAAGGTGAAATCCTGAATTAATTGCATGTGTGTGTTGCATTAATGTGTTTATATCTGTTTATCGTAGAAATATCTGTTTCTATTTGTATTTCTATTTATGTTTCTGTTTCGTTCTACGAATTGGAAGCCTTATCAGCATCTGATTACAAAATTGACTTGATTTATGTATTATTTAGGATTTTTGAAAAATTATGTTAGGTTTAATTAAAATTCGGTTTAGAACGATTAAATTAGAATAATTTAATATCCAATTGATTAGTTGATCAGCAATTTAATTAAACCATTAGCCAAGCCTTTATAAGGCTCCCATATGTGCCTTCACTCATTCTTTTCTTCATCTCAACACATTTTTGAGCTCACACACAAACCAAAAGTGAGAGAGAGAGAGAGAGAGAGAGAGAGAGAGAGAGAAAGAGAGAAGAGAAGTCTGAGCTCAAATTAAGAAGATTGCTAGGGAACTTAGAGAATTTGGCATGGAACTTCCAACAATTGATCATCTAAAGCATCATTGACAAGCCTAGGTAAGAATTCAACTTTTCGATTGTACAATTATGATGTGTAAGACATGAACTCTAGAGGATTATGATGGATAATGCAAGAATTAAGCTAGAAATGAAAAGAATTGAACCATGTCATGCATGCATGCATGAGAGAGAGAGAGAGAGAGAGAGAGAAAGAGAGAAGAGAAGTTTGAGCTCAAATTAAGAAGATTGCTAGGGAACTTAGAGAATTTGGCATGGAACTTCCACAATTGATCATCTAAAGCATCATTGACAAGCCTAGGTAAGAATTCAACTTTTCGATTGTACAATTATGATGTGTAAGACATGAACTCTAGAGGATTATGATGGATAATGCAAGAATTAAGCTAGAAATGAAAAGAATTGAACCATGTCATGCATGCATGCATATATCATAGCATTTTGAGTTTGAATTTCACTCAAGTCATACATGCATGTGTCCTTCTTGACTTGGTTTTGAGAATTCATCACATTTCTTACCATTTTATCTTAATTGATCATGTTTTGGGGAGTCTAAGTTCATATCAATTCATGCATGTTAACTTCAAGTTATGATCTTTGAGCTTCAAGCTTGGTTTTGTATAATTGACTTATCTTTGGGTCTTGATTTTGAATTCAAGTTGTTTTACATGTTCACACTAGTTTCCTTCAATTTTTTGCCCAAAGGATCATGAATTTCAGTTTAGAATTGGAGTTTTGAGCTTTGAAGCAAATCTGGAAATTCCAAAATTCTGCCCTTACGTTCGAGCGGAGGAACCTACGCTCAAGCGACCACTCTGAGTGTGTGCATATCCGCTCGAGCAACCTAAAATTGGCTCGAGCATGAAATACATGCTCCCAGAAGTTTACATATTTTGCAGACCGCTCGAGCGATAAGGGTTGCCCTCGAGCAAGGACCTGAGTCGTATGCTCGAGGGCCCGTCAAGCGTCCGTCGAGCGTGAAAATCACACAACCAGTACTTTTGCAGAAGTTTATAGACCGTTCGAGTGGCAAAAGTTGCGCTCGAACAACCACTCATGTTTTACATTGTAACGACCCCATCGCGTATAATGATTAGTACTTAATTAATTAAAAGGATTTGAAATTTAATTACCGAGTATTCTAATTTAATTTGGAATTTATGAGAATTATGAGATCTGACTCGTATATGATTCTATTAAAGATTTATTTTGGAATTAGAAATTAAGGGTCCAAATGGCTTAAGGAAGTGAAGATAAGAAGTTGAATCAATTTAATCTTAATTATGGACCCATTTGGGAGTTAATTAAATATTCGTTTCAGTTGACCGTTCGAGTGGCAAAAGTTGCGCTCGAGCAACCACTCATGTTTTACATTGTAACGACCCCATCACGTATAATGATTAGTACTTGATTAATTAAAAGGATTTGAAATTTAATTACCGAGTATTCTAATTTAATTTGGAATTTATGAGAATTATGGGATCTGACTCGTATATGATTCTATTAAAGATTTATTTTGGAATTAGAAATTAAGGGTCCAAATGGCTTAAGGAAGTGAAGATAAGAAGTTGAATCAATTTAATCTTAATTATGGACCCATTTGGGAGTTAATTAAATATTCGTTTCAGTTTAGTAAAATTGAGATTCGATTAATTAGATCCTAATTGGAGTTAATCAAGTTAATTAAATTATGAATATTGAGAATTGTAATTATTATCAATTAAATTTATTTATGGGGTGTCTAATTTGAATATGTAATTTAATTGACGAAAATTTGGAATCTAATCAGAAGTTGAAGGCCTAGATGATTTAAGAAAACAAAATTAAGGAGGATAATAAGTTCAATTTAATAATTGGAGCCTTTTTGGATATTGATTAAAAATCTGATTCAAATTGATAAATTTAGTTATGATTGATTGTGACTTATTTGAAGTCAATTAGACTAATTGAACTATGTAGAAATTTATCAATGACGATGAAGTATGGTTAATTGTGGTTTAATTAAATTAAAAGCGTAATTGGTGTGCCAAACTAATCCTAATTAATTAAGTTGATGTGCAATTAGTAAATGAAGTTGATTCTAAATAATTAATAATTAAGAAGAGTTAGGACAATGGTGCAAAATATAGAATTCGTTTGCTAGAGGGTGCGTTTGGCTACATGTGAGGAGAGAGAGAATGAGTGCTCAATTTGTTATTGGTAGGAACTATGAATTGAAAAACACTATAAGGAAGGAGAGAGAGAGAGAGAGAGAGAACCGTACGGTAAGAGAGGAAGAAAGGTTCTGGAGAAGTGAAGTAACGAAAGGAGAAGGAAGATAGGATGAATAAAGAAGAAGAGGGTTTTGTGGGATATTAAAATTGAAGTAAAAGATTATGAAAAATTCATCTTAAGGTAAGAAATTTTATCCTCTTTCTAGTGTTGTTTACTTAATCTAAACAAAAATTTATTAAAGATGGATTTTGAGAAGATTTAAAATAAAGATTTGAGGATTAATTATAATTTCATAGAAATTAGATTTGTATGTTAAATCAAGTTAGGTTGAAAAATATGAGTTATGATTCTTTTAATTTGTTAAATTTGGGTTCAATTTAGAGAATTATTCGTGAATTAAGTCCTATAAATTACATGCAACAAGGGTTTATTAAAGATTTGGCCCATACAAATGAGTTAGGTTAATGATTATGGAAATCAATTTAGAATTATTTATGTTGTATTTAATTTTTGTAATCTTGCATGAATTTGGATCTTATTCCTACATGCATGTAATTTGAAAGAATTAAAGAATAAATATGGGTTTTGATTTTAATTATTAACCCATGCATGTAATGTAATCTAAGAGTTTGACTCAAATTAAACATATTTTGAAACATCTATGACTATGAATTAAATTGAGGTTAAAATAAATTAAGTTAAGCTTGAGATTAAGGAAATGAGTTTGGGAAAATTTATCAAGTAAGTTTAATTTGTGTTATTCCTCATGAATTTGGACTTCATCTTTACATGCATCAATGAATCTTTAAGAAAGTTGGGGAATTAATTTCATG